TCGGCGTATCGTTTACGTCCGAAATAATTTTGGTAATTAAGTAGTATGTTTAATTTAACAATTAAACATCATTTGAGTGATTAATTGGGATTAATCACATCCAAGCCCTAAATAACCCTATTAAGCCGTGACTTAAGGGTTCTTAACTTAAGAATTTTTCCAAATAATTAGTATTGTCGTGGCCTTTCTTTAATGAGAGGAAAAGCTTTATTGACCAATCGAGTTTAGCAATGTGTCAAGCAATAGGTTAGCTTAGTCATCCTTCATGAAGGGAGAGTTGAGCAAGTGTCAAAAGAAGGTTAAGCCACATAGTAGCTCCATCATTTCCCCTCTCGGCCGAACATCTATTTAAGTGTAGCATTTGGAGAAATTTCGCCACTTTTTCCATATAAGTGAGCAGCTAATTTTCAGTATACTAAACTCTCTTAAATCAGCAAATTACTTAAGCAAAACTCACCCAAAAACTCAGCACGATCGCACGGCAACCGAAGCTTTACCGCACGGCGTTCCGGCGAGGAGAAGCGGCGACTTAAATTCGATTTCCGTCGAGCGTTTAGTAAGGTATTCCTCTGTTCAGCTCATAACCTTGGTATTGAGTTCGGTTCAGAGTGAATTGCCCAGATTTCATTTGAGAAATTCGCTTTAATTCGCACCTTAGTCCGATTATGCATAAGATTAGTAATTGCCGAACAAGTTCTATTTTCTTTCGGCAAATCCTGAACAATTTAGTTCTTTTCAGTTTTTATTTAAAGTGTTCTGTGATATTAAGTGAGGTCGATCGATGAAATGTCGAGGATTGCCGATGAATTGGCCAAAATCGCAGCTTGTGCCGATCGTACGCGGCTACGGACGGCCATGAGGCATGAGGTTGTTTACAGCGCATGAGTCGTGACCTGTAGGGTTTATTTGGACTAAATTTACTTGATCATGATCAGTTGTTCGATAGATTGTCGGAGAAGAACGGAGTTTTGCCGAGGAAAGGCCCCAGCCGGCACCCCACACCTATCGTGCGTAGCCTCGGGGGCGCCGTGGGCCGAGGCATGTGGTTTCAGTTTTGAACAATTCACTCGTGTGATTAAGTTTTAGATCATTTCAGTATAATTATCATGCAATCAGATTTCGAAGTTGTCGTGGATTACTTGAGTCTTGGCCGAGAACATGACCACGGCCGTAGGCATCGCGTGTGCGAGCGAGCCACGGCCAAGGGTCCAGTTCATTGAGTTAAATTCGGCCACTTCATGTTAAGTTCAGTACAAGAATCATTTTAAGGCCTAACATGTTAAAATAAGTTGGTTTGGTCGGAGGAAATTGCCGGACGGTCGACAAGGCGTCGACCGTGGCCGCGCTGCCGCACGCAGCGGCAGCAACGCCTCGGCAGCAACCCAGTGCCAGGCAGCGCACGCCAACGCAGTGGCGGACTGCTGCCTGCGCACAGGCAGTGTGCGGGCGACGGCGG